GTACCCAGTGAATGGGGAGCTGAGGAGCTACAGATACATCATCACCTTACATCACGCACACGTGCCCTGGCTGTTAGGGAGGTGGTCTCCCATGTGTCTGGAATTGCCAATTTCAAAAAGTCGCTTTTCATTCTCCCGTTGCTCTGATTCATAACCCACCCATGTCTCTGCTCTGCCTCCCCCTGACTTCCGTGGCCCTGATCATTCTTGCTCCCGGCAGCCTCTTCTGAATTTCTCGTCTCTGCCCACTCCTCCTGTCTTTGTGACGCCTGTTGTTTTATTCTACACCTCTTCTTTCCTTTTTCCCTTACTTTTTCTGATTCTTCTTGAACATTTCATTCATCCCCTTCTTTAATATCTTTAGTATCTTGAAACCGCTCTCAGCACATTTTTCTCTTTTGTTTTGTTTTCTCTCGGAAAACAAAGGAGTTAGGAGACACCCCCTAAGTGTCTCCGTGGATGCTGCAGGATAACTTTAAGCTCATTATATCCCAAACAGAATTCATTCCAACCTCAGAACTCTTTCCTTCTCTCCAGTTCACTTGCTGCCTCTCTTTTCCCTTATTATTATTTATCTAAGTCAAGGGTCAGCACATTTTTTCTGTAAAGTCCGGATAGTAAATATTTTAGCCTTTGTGGACCACAGGGTTTCTGCTATAACTACTCAGCTGTGCTGTTGTGAAAGGCAACTCTAGTCTATATGTAAACAAATGGGTGTGACTGTGTTCCAATAAAACTTTATTTACAAAAACAGGCCATGAGGCTGGATTTGGCCCTTGGGCCATAGTTTGCGGATCTCTGATCTAAGGTAATGGGTTTCAGCCAGAAACTTCTAAACTGAGCTTTACTTCCACATCAGTCGGTCAGCGTGCCATGATGGCTATCTTTTCAGCTGATCCGCCCTGTTTCTACTCTCCCTACACACTTTCCTCTCTCAGACCCTCAGCTCTGATCGGGTCAGTTGCAGGAGATGTTTATCTCGTCTCACTGCTTTCTGCCTGTTGGCCCTCTGATCCATGCTCTGCTTCCAAAGTAGTCTTATGAAAACAGAACTCATCTTGTTACTCCTTGTTTAAAATGCTCAGTGCTTTGCAAATATCTACACTGCAGGGCTTCCCCAGTTTTAGATCCATAAGACCTCCTTGAAATCTATGTTAAATTAAATACTTCTGGTCCCCACCCCAGAGGTTTTGATGATATGAATCAGAGTTGGGGGCCAGGAGTCTGTGTTGTAAACAGACATTCCAGATGGGCCTGTGGTGTGCAGTCCTCAGACATTTGAGAAACACTGGCCATGGGGAAGGGCGAACCCTACTGCATGGAACACGAGGCCCCCCGGCTTGCCTATTTCTCCAGCCCCACTTCTCACAGCCCTCCCTCAGCATGCTGGGGTCAAGACCTCTCCCTGAACTGGCCATGCTTGTCCACCCCTTTCAGTTCTCCCACACGATAGTCATTTAACCACCTGAGCTATGGACTTTTTGCTTGGCAAATTTCCTTTAAAGCTCAACTCATGTACCAACTCCTCTGGTGAATTTCCTTAAACTCCCTAATTCTTACCATGTATGTGTCTCTATACCAGTACCTATAACATACGAGCTGCTTGATTTATTTGTCTATCTCTCCTATCAGACTGTAAATTTCTAATAGGTGGGGATTATGTCTTCTTCATTTGTATATGCCTATATTTTAGAGGGTACCCTGTTAAGTACACTAGAAATTTGTTGATTTGATTTAAGAATTAGGCCAGGGATATTAATATCTATGTTTTATAATATTGTAATTATAATATTAACCTGACATAATTAAATTGAGGCTCTGAGATGTTCATTGACTTGTTTGAGGTCAATTATATTTTCTCCCTCCCTCCCTCTCTCCCTCTTTCTTCCTTCCTTCCTTTCTTTCTTTCTTTCTCTCTCTCTCTTTCTTCTTTCTTTCTTTCTTTCTTTCTTTCTTTCTTTCTTTCTTTCTTTCTTTCTTCTTTCTTTCTTTCTTTCTTTCTCTTCTTTCTTTCTCTCTTTCCTCTCTCTCTCTCTTTCTTTTTCTTTTGTTGATTTTTCCATTACACATGGTGCCTTCCTAACATGATGGGGTTATTCCTTGTGCTGACATGAACCTTGAATCCTGGAAGTGTCCATTGGGATTTTCCAATTTGAGTATACTCATTCAATCTTTTGATTATTTCATGTTGTCCCTTCTGAGGCTAATGACTGAAAGCAAGTCATCCAGAATTCTCTTCAAAAGCTTGGCCTCTATGGTATTTGGATTTCTGGACATTTCCTTCTTAGGGCTGCCACATCTTTTGGTTTTCTTCCAAGAATCTAAACTATATTTATTCTGTCTACTTTTACTATAACGAAATGCACATGCATTATTATTATTAATATAACTTGACAACTAACCGTTCAAGAGAAGGGAGGCTCTTGTCAGTGACCCGCATAGGGTACTGCTTATGCTTGCCCTTCCTTCACTTCTCACAGAGCACAGGAATTCCAAACTCCTCTATCTTTAATGCTCAGCTGAGATTAGGCAGCTGAAATCCAGCAAAGGTCAGGCGTCACTCATAGAAACCTCTGGAACACTAGGCTGGGTTTTGTCAGACAAAGAAAAGGATTATGTGCTAAGAGACACAACCCATGAACCTCAAGAGCAGTCAGTAGATGGTTATTTAATGCTCATTTCCTTTTGCATTGTATTAAAATTTTTTTATTACTTTGTCTCTTATCAAATAGGAAACTTGCATTTTATTAATCTCATCCTACCTCACACATAGCAAACACTCAAAAGAAACTTGTGAAATGAAGTGAGTAATCCCAAAAGCTCATTTCAACCTTTCACCTTTCACCTTTGATACAATAATGATTAACCAGTGAAATGCTCCAAAGGCAGGCAGCCAGAGATAGGTAGATAGGAGGGGCCATTGGAAACTAGCATCCAGATAATCAGCCTTGGAAAACTGAATGTCTGTGTGTATATCTGGTTACTCACAACAACCAAACACAACAACAACAAGGATGGCAACCGGCCCGGAGACCAGAAACCTGGCATTTTAATTTAATAACTTTTATACTTCCTTGATTATTGTATGCTTAACATAAATAATGTCTACTTGTAACATTTGTATTACCTTTAAACACTTAATCAATTAGTATTTAAGAAATCATTCCTGTGCAGTAAAAAAGAAGCTGGTCTTTTTTTTTAAACAATTTAAATTTTTATTGATTTTGTTTACATAATAAGGAATCAGCAACTACAGTAGTTGCCACTTTAAGTGACCACAGGAAAACAAAATATATAATTATTTTACATGCTTATATTACAATTTTATAAATTTCACTACAGCATACCCATGTTTTGCTATAAACTGTATTCCTTTGGCCATATCGGTTTTATGTCAAGAGATCATGTTTGTTTCTTACCAATTTTTATCAGTCTGTTAACATTTTGAAATCAAAAATTTTTAGAAAAGTTACTGAATGCAATTTCATTATAAATAGTACATGTATATACTCTTCGTGTGCAGTTTCAAAACTTGGCAAGATGTGATTACAGACCACGGTCTGATATGGAGAAGGAAAGGGTGCTGGGATGTAAATGAGGAAGAAGAACCAAAACTCAGTACAAGGTTAATAAAAAGGAGCTAAAACTTAAGAACAAAAAGTATATTAGTGAACTGGGAAGATATTAGTCACCCAAAGTGAATTTAAAATCCAAAGTTTGAAATGTCTTTTGTGTTGACAAGCATCTGAAAAAATGATTGGGGAGGAAATAATCAACAAGACCGTGAGTGATCTGTAAATAGAATCCATGTGGCATGTGAATTAATTATTGTCCTTTCTTTTTGGCCACATTGTTGGGTTTTGGTTTACTGTATTATCACATTAGGTGCTGACAGAGAACCACACTGCTAGCTCATTTCCAACATGTGGCCCAGGGTTACTAAGAGAAAAAAAAAAAAGAAACTCTGTTATATTTTAAGACGGAGCTAAAGCTCTTGGGCCCAATTTATTCCTGAAGTCACCCTGAGAACATTGCGCTGTGTTTTGCTGGAACAGAATCAGGACCTTTTGCATTGATGTGACGGGGCAATGACGAACGTCAGGCTAAGAATGGGAATCTATCCCCATGGGTTTCCTCCCACCCCACCTCATTTCCTCTCCCTTCCGTTCTCTCTTGGACATATTTTCACACACATATCATCCCAAGTTAACCTAAGGCACTTTGCTGGGGAGATGAAAGAATGAGGCAGTAATACACAAAGAGCTCTTACAGTCCCAAAAAGCAGTTTTGCCTGTATGTGACAAAAAAGCACCACGTCGAGAACTGTTTTCTAGTAGTTATTTACAAAAACAAGACAAAAATTAGTAATAAGCTTTACAGGTAGCTGTTAAATGGATTAATCTGTGTGATTTTAAAAAATAGTATTGTCATTATCATATTAGACCTATGCCAGAGACCATTTTAACCCCTGCCTGTGGGAGAGGATGCTGCTTTCTCCGGGGCCTTGTGGACACGGCTCCAGGCACCATGCATCCTGTCCATGATGGCATTGCTGGCATTTCTCCACCGTAAAGGTATGAACGCTGGGGCCAGCCCTTTGTTTAATCATCTGCATGTCGTATATTGTAGCTAAGTATTTACAGAAGACAAAACTAAACAAATAGTGTTTGAACTACAATAGTGAAAGAAGGAAGAATGTTTTAATAATCCCCCCCAAATTGTAGGTAACATTTTCTCTGCAGAGTACATGAATGGGAGATTTCAAAGCAGTCCTTGGGGATAGCATTCCAAAGCTCCTCTCTCTTTCCCTTTGTGACATCTGATCTTATCTGAACGTAGAAAGGTTAACGATTTTCAAAAACCTCAATCTCTCTTTCTGATACTACCTCCTGATCCTCCAAAAAGGTTTCTAGTGTCACAAAAATACACCAGCTAAACTGCTTTTACATTGTCCAACCAACGGTGTGACACCATGAATAAAAAAGTTCTTTTGAAGGCTTTTATTTTTAAATTTTAAATTGAGTCATTTAAACTTTATTTAAAAATTCCATTTTACAGTGACACCATTTTCCTTTCCATCAGATTCACATTAATTTAAAAAATAAACTTCTTTAATAGGAATTCAGAGTGAGCTCAGCTTAAACGGAAGTGGGGCACGAGTATACCGGAAGCTATCAGGAGCTGCGCTGAAGTGCTGATTGTAAAACAGGAAGTGCTTTCACGCTGAGGCTTTCTTAATTCTCACTGCTCATCTTCTCCTGCTGTAAACAGCTCACAGAATGTCATGTGTCACTGTGAGTGTTGAGAAGAATCACTCTTACATTCTTACATTGTTTTGTGCAAGCACACAGTTGTTTTGTTTTGGCAAATGCCTCATTGTTTTAATGACTTCTGTCCAGAATAGAGAACATGGCATTAAGTGAATATGCCTTCTTTTAAGATGAGCTGTATTTATTACTGGAACGGAAGTTGTCATATCCGTGATCATTAGCTTTGAACTTCAAGCACGACTGCTTTTCCTCCAAGGACTGTTTTTCTTCAAATGACTGGCACCAGCAGCATAAGCACGACTGTACAAAGCAAAGGAACTCGTTATACCAGTGACACCAGTGACGCAGGGGTGACTCTTCCTACTTTCTAGGGTTCTGACTTTCTTGGCATGATCAGGAGTTCTCGGCCTCTTTCCATGCTCTCTTATTTTTCCCTTTAACAACATATAATCGTGTAAGTCATGTCTGGTAACTTTTTAAACTAGAAAATACAGAGAAAAAATGTCTATCATGAAAACTCATCTTTTCATTAAGTTTAAAGGGGAAAGCCACTTAGGGCTTGATATTTACTCTTGATTACTCGAGAAATTCTCATAATATTTGATAAATACATACCTCAAGACGTTTTCCTATGCAAATAGAAATATCACACACATCAATACACACGACTGTGTATGTGCATGTTTGTAGAAGTGTGTGTACAATTTATTTTAATAAAACTGGGCTGTGTGTACTATTCCATAGCCTGCTTTTTCTCACCTGATGGTGTCATAAACATCTTCCCATGTCAATGAACTTAATATTACATTGCCAGTTTTTGTCAGCCACATGTTATGCTCGTGTGCCTTTTCAATATTGTCACACAATAAACTTATAGAGTATATAAATGTCTCACTTCCATTCAACCAAATTTCTTTTCTCGGATTTTTTTTAAATCCAAAACTTTGTTCCTACTGTTTGCTTTCTGAGAATCTCTATGTCTAAGAAAGTGGAAGGTCCATTGTTTTCTGTTCTATTAAATGAGGGAGTTGAACTTGATGAATGTTCTATTCTAACTCTGTGATCCATGAGTCTATGAGCGGGCAAAGGATTTAAGACCAATTTAGTTTTACAAGGAAGCTTAGTTCTTTCCAGGAACGAACTACCAGGGATAAATGGATCATGTCCATATCAGGGAAGGGGACCATTTCATTCATGTTAGGTTGTTGAAGGAAGGAAGGAATGGATGGATGGATGGCACAACGCAAGCAGCCAAATCAAGAATAATGACACATATTCCACATCAAGTAGCGCATCTGGGCTATACAGGAAGGTGGGAAAGAGGAGGTAAAACCTGAATTAAATGTCTTCACTTGACTTGCTATTCTCATGTCCAGATGAATATTGCAACTGACTGAGTTATAATCCAAACCATGCTGCACAGTCCAAAACCTACCAAAAAATGGTAACGGTGCATTTAATTCATGTTTAACTCTTATTTGACCAGATGATATCTGTCAGACATTAATGCACGTACTTTTTGCTAATTTTCTGAGCATTTCTATGAGTACCACTGATCAGTTGAGGCGGTAAGGAGTAGGTGACGAGGATTTACAGGCAGAAATCAAGTACAGTGATTGAAATAGAACTCATATTTAAAAAAAAATCAAGGGAAAGCTGTAAAACAATTCACTAAATCTCTTTAGATAGAAGTATGAATAGTTTGGAAAGGTTATATTTGGTGCTAGGCCAAAAAGAGCTTTTTATTTTGAAATACTCCTACCTTAAAGCAGTTTTTGAATCTTTTGCTCACCAAATATAGAGCTATAGGATTAATGCAGGAATTCAGGGAAGCCATGTTAATGCCGATGTAGTCCAACACCAACAAAAAGCTGCAAAAAATGACCCAAAACATGTCTGTGAATAATACGCTGCTTTATGCATGTATTCCTGACAAACTGCCGAACAAAACTTCACAGACTTTTGTGAAGAGAAGAAATTATCCATATACATAGTTTATGGCTTTATCACTGCTCTTTGCTAAGGATGACTCCTCTCTCTGTCTCTCTCCCTCTGTCTCTCTCTGCCATCATGACCCTCCGCCCATGCCCAAATTCTCTCTTTTACAATAAAATCTCATTTGGAAGTACTGAGCTGGCTGCGAAGAAGGCTTTGCAAAGTGCCAAGGAGAATCGGAGCTGATCTTTCCAACTGGGGCGCCCGCTCATCATTTTAACTGCTCTGCCTCTCCATTCCCAGTGTTCTCACAAGTCCCCTTGATTCTTTCCTCTACAATAGGTGTGAAGATAAAAAACGGGAATCTTAATTGCTCCCTAAGGGCTGGCAAAATGGTCCTCTCTCTGCCTATGAAAGGGATCGATGAGAAAAACCTGCTGAATGGCATTTACCTACAAAACTCTGGCTATTTTCCCTTTCTTACCTCAAAAGTTCACATCTATTAGGATCATTCTGATCGTAAAGAGTGAGCTTCAAGATCCTGCTGAGGTGAAGGGGAAGCCAGCATAGAGCAAAGACAAGGACCAGGCAAAAGACTGTTTTGGCCACTTCCCGTCTCTGAAATAAAACCATAGTAAGAGACTAAATAGATCGTTCAGATAATCACAGCGGTCTCTCTTCCCAAACAGAGCCTTTAATATTGTTTACAAAAAGTCAGTGGTGTTTGTAAAAATCCTGAACACCGAGCTTTAAGTTGAATAGTTAATATGAATTAGAACCAAAATGACTACAGATTCACCTTGAAAAAGTAATGGCTCTTTCTAGATCCTTTTAGATTATGTAGAATAGAGTATCTCTAGATAGATATTCAAAAATACCAGAAGCAAGAAAAAGGAAATATGCTCTCGTGTATAATAATTTTAGTTTTTCTTATTCATAATCGTCATTGTAATCGTGGGTCAGCACATATTTCTGTTCTCTTACCTGCTTTAGGTGGTCATTTAGAGCAATCTGCATGCCACTCTTCTTTCTCAACATTTCACAGGTCATCAGGGTATAAAAAAAGGCAGTGATGGCCAATGGCAAGCAGAAATAGAAACTAAATAGCCACCAATCTTTATGTGTCTTGTAAAACTATGGAGAAAAGAGAATTGTATGATTAACATTCCTCTGTAAAAAAAAAATCTTATATGCCAAATGCTAAATTAAAAAAAAAAACAGCCAACATACTCATCAAGGAATAATTATCTTCTAGAGTAGATCCATTTCATAAAGGCTATATAGAATCTTTCAGGCCACATCTACTGAACAAATAATTAAATACTTACACTAAACGAAACAAACTTTCCCTAAAGAGCATTTTAACTCTCTAAGGCAGTGTGCTGTAATTATGCACAAAAATTTAAGCAATTGGGCAAAATTAAAAATATATGGTATTCCAAATAGGTTTGCCTTCACATAAGCAAATTATCCTTAATGCATTTGTGCAAAATACCACATCTGAATATGTGAGGACATCCTTGTGTTTAAGGGAAGCTTTCACTCTTTAACAAACCTGTTTTCTGGAAAAAAATCGATGTGGAAAGGTCTATACAAACCATTTTGCTAAGAAATGTATAAATCTAACTTACCAATTGGAAAATCAAAGCTGCTTATGACTTATGCCTTTTCTCTTATTCTATTTCTGCTCTTTTTTCTTTGTTCTTAAACTGTTGCTCCAGATATATCTTGTTGGAGCAGAATTTATGTAATCTATGCAGTACTTTTCCCTTTTAACTGAGAGGAAACAAGAATTCAGCAATCTCATTCTCAATTTCACATTAATGTCCCTCTTAATTCTTTTCATTACCATGATATATGCAATCCCTAAAGTTGTGTATGGTCTTCTTATATGTAAAATAGAAAATAATCCTGGGTGACACCTGGACCAAGTACACTAACTCCTCTTGACCCATTCTGGTGGGAAGAGTTTTTTACACTTAAATTAAGATCTGCCTACAAATACCAATGTTGCCATGTCCCCCCTATTTCCTGATTCAACGTTCTTGAATAAAGGGCCAAGATGAAAAATTCTTTGCAATGGCGGCTCTCCCTTTAGAGAGAGGACAGGCTTGCCTTTCAGAATCCATCCACATCAGGGCATCTTCTACTTGATAATTCACTGAAACATCCACTCCCTCTGATGACCGCTGTGTTGTCTTATGCAAAACATGCAGTACTTGTCAGTCCTTCTGGGGGAGTTGAGTAGAGAAGCTATAAATTCAGATCGATTCTCTCATGTGAACTTGGTTTATCTGTATCCATGGGCACTGGGGAATTCTTGCACAGTAGTGACCTAGCTTCCTGCAGCATGGGTCATTATTCACCCTTTGCCCCACAGTCCTGGGGCTTACACTCTTAATTTATGCCAAGGACAGTCATCAATCAATAGCTTCCCAAGAAGGGAGGATCAGGGGGGAACGTAGCTAAATATGTATAAGGCAAGAACAGAAAGGAAAGAAAAAGATAAAATTCACCTGCATGAAGGCTGTTTTCTGAGTAGGAGGAAGCAAGCAGATTCGCAGGTAACGTCCTTTGTAGTCAAAGGTTATCATATCAAAACCCACAGCTTCAGGGACAGCCAGAACCACGGAGACCACCCAAATTAAAACAATTTCTACTGCTGTCCATTTCGGAACCCCGATTCCTTTAATTCGACTCCAAGAGGCAACGGCTCGATATCTGAAGAACAAAACAGAATTATCTGTCAAGCTGGCAGAGCCTGTTTTATTGAAGTACATAGTTTATTTTCTAAGTAACACAGCAATCACTCGTATAGTGTTCAGGATATAACTGGCTTAAATATACGCCCTTACCTGTCAATACTTAGGGCACATAGACTCAACACAGTGATGCCCACGGAGGCCTTCTGTATGAAAGGCACCAGCTTACACATCTCAACTCCAAAGGGCCAGTCCTCAGCAAGCAGCTGCATTGTGAAGACATGAAGGTCTGTTAGGGAGATAGCCACATAGTGCCCTCTGAACCGCATTACTTAGTGGACCAAAATTAACATACGGAGTAAGATAAGCAATTCCAGTTCTTATTCTTTTCCTCATGGACTACCCCTTTGAAAAGCACCAGTGTTCGATATATGGATCAGGAGCGTGGTTGGGAATAAAGAAAACACAGCCAGTTCATGAGAATTTGTTATGCATACACAGTAGCTCAGGCTCAGGATCACTACCATGGGGCCAACTGGGGTCAGTCTTGTAAGTTCCCCTTAGAAAACGGAGCCTGCTGCCCTGCAAACAGCTCTTACACAGTCACGGAGTCTCTCACATGCTCAGGTCATGGCCAAACCAAAATACAGACGATAAACGGTAATAACAGATAATAAACGTTCCTCAGCTGGGGAGACTAGTCTGCTCCTACGGAGAACAGTGTGTGCATTTGTATACTTATTCTTTACTGTAGTCAACTTGACGGCCCAATAACTCAGCGGGAATAGTTACTCACTGCTCCTTGAACGCCCCAGGCACACTCCTGCCTTCGGGCTTTACTCTAGGTGTCTCCCTATTCTGGAAGGCTCTTTCCCCACAGATCCACTTGGTGAACTCCCCTGCCTCCTTCAGGTTTTGCTCAAAGCTAATCTTTTCAACATGAGCTACTTTAACCACATTATTAGTACAGTACCCGGCCAGGCTCCCATCTCTCTTACCCTACTCCACTTTCCTTTTTATGTATAGCACTTATCAACAATTATTGCATGTATTATAACGTTTACTTGTTTGTTTTATTTCATTTTTGCTCTCTGGAATCCCTGGAGTATAAGACAGAATAAGGCCTATGCAACTGCCTAATGTAGTTCCTGCCACGTAGCGGATGCTTAATATTCAAACCCCTAAAATATATAGGCACCGGCTCTACAATGAGCAAAAAGACAGAGTTCTTGCTATTATACATATATTTCTCTTCGTCTGACTTCAGACTATGCAACCATCTGTTGTTAAGCTCAGTTATTTTCTTTCCTGGGACAACTGGGTGTGCCCCACACTGGTTAATGAATCACTTTAGGTAAACATCTGGATTGAGTGTTCATGAGGTTTTGAAAATAAAGTTTTTCAAATTGATTTTTTAAAAAATGTGGGTTTTTTTAAAGATTTTATTTATTTGAGAGAGAGAGAATGAGAGACAGAGAGCACGAGAGGGAAGAGGGTCAGAGGGAGAAGCAGACTCCCTGCTGAGCAGGGAGCCCGATGCGGGACTTGATCCCGGGACTCCAGGATCATGACCTGAGCTGAAGGCAGTCGCCTAACCAACTGAGCCACTCAGGCGCCCTTAAAAAATGTTTTAAAGAATAATCTTCCCAAAGTGAAAACTATTTTGAAACACAATTGAGTCTTTCTGTCCTTTCACTAGTGAGGGTCCTTTGTGGATTTGTCAAGCTGGGTGATTGTTTTATAATGGCACCAAAGGCTGAACTGTGTCTAGTATGAATATGACTTGGAGCCCCAGCATGAGATCAATTTCATTTCTAAGTTACACTGACATGTAGGCCAGATGTTGGCAAACTTACCACAGATATGCTTAATCTAGGGTCCTGGAAATCGACAGGGCCAGGCAGAGGGTGGAGGGAGCCAGGTGTAGGAAAGTCATTGGTATGTCAGTAATAGAGAGTGGCGAGGTATGGGGCAAATCCCAGCTAAAAAGAGAAGCTGCCAAAAACCATGACATGATTTTTGCCAAGAAATAAACAAAACAAAACAAAACAAAACAAAAAACTTCTTGATTTTAGTCAAAAAAGTTAGAATTTTTATATAAAACCTCATAATTATAAAAGGTGTCAATTAACTCATATTTTTAAAAAACACTGTCATATAATATTGTCTTAACAAAAATATATCTGTGGGTCTGACTAGTCTCTACTTGTGACTTCTAGATTAATCAATTGATTCAGAATTCTGTTCATTCCTTCATTCATTCATTCATTCAATAAGCACTTATTGAGCTTTCAATATATGCCAGACACCATTCTGAGTACAGGATGCATATCAATAAACCAGGCAAACTTCCTGCTCTCATAAAACTTATAATCTAATGAGGGAGGTACATTAAAAAAAACAAACAAATATTCAATATGGTGTCACACAGGTATAATCATCATATGAAGAAAGTATGGTGGGATTTTAAGTAATTTCTTGATAGGTTTCTCAGCAAGGTCTTTCTGAAGAGGCAACATGTAAGGGACCAGACTAAAATAAGAAAGTAAGCCATGCAAAGAGCATTCTGGACAAAGGAAAGAGCAAGTGCAAAGGTCCTGGGGTAAAAATAAGTAAATAAGCCTAGTGGGCTGAAAGGACAGGAAGAAGGCTATCAAGGCTATAGTGGCTAGGAGATGAAGTTCTAGAAGGAGGAGTTGGACTAATTTTTTAAGGAAATACATTGCAAGCTTTTCAACAGGGAAATGGCACAGTCTTGTTTATGTTTTTAAAAAGATCACTGTGGCTGCTCAATGTGGAATAGAATGTCGGGTCAAGCTGGAGCTTGTGGTGACCGGGGGCTGAATAGAACAGGTTATTATAGATGAAATATATTTTGAAGGTAGAGCCAGCAGGACTTGTTATGGGTTGGATATAAGATATGTGGAGTCAGGACATTTTAAGAGGTTTGTCATATGAATGGTGGGACCATTTACTGAAATGGGGGAAGACTCAGGATACCTCAGGTCTGAACCAACTATGAACTGCCAATTGCCCTTGGAAACATAAGACTAAAAAGTTTCCAACCAGTTCCAAGGACTCCACCAGACCGGCTTGCTATAAATTAACCAGACAATATTCTTTCTAACAATTCTGATTATCCTTAGATGGATCGGGGGAAAAAAAAGAAAGGAAAAAAACTGACACTTATATGGCACTTGTGATGGGTTAGGCACTATTCTAAGCACTTTACACATATAATATCACTGAAATCTCCAAAGGAATCCTGTAAGATAGTACTACTGGCGCACATTTTATAGAGAAGAAAACTGAGGCACTTAGGGGTTTATTAACATGCTGTGTTGATTTTCAGTATGTCCACAAATTCTCGGCTACTCTTCCCTTCAAAGGGTGAAGCCTCATTTCCCTTCCCTCGGAGATGTGGGTTGGCTTTAATAATTTGCTTTTAGTGAACAGAAAGTAGCCAAAGGGATGAGGTGTGATGTCTGAGACTAGTTCACAAAAGGCCTGTGGCTTCTTCCTTGCAGTCTGGTGGATCCCTCATTCTCGGGGAGACCAGCTGCCATATCAAGAGGGCACTCAAGCCCCTTTATGGACAGGCCACCACGGTGAGGAACTAGAACTTCCTGAAAATGACTGGCACCAATGTGTCTGGTGTATGAATGAGAGAATCCTCCAGCTTTAGGCAAATCTTCAGAAAACTGCAGCACTTGGGAAATATCTTAACTGCACCCTCATGAGAGAGAGACTCTGAGCCAGAACCACCCACTCTGGTTCCTGAATTCTAGACCCACAGACAAAGTGTGAGATAATAGATGTGTATTGTTTCAAGCCGCTAAGTTTCGAGGTTATTTGCTTTACCTCATTAGACAAGTAATATACTTGGCCTTGGTTTACTTGGTTTATTACTCATATGGTTACTTGTCCTTGTAACTTGGTTTATTACTCACTTAAGTAACAGATCCACATTTGAACCCATACGGTCTGATTCTAGAGTCTATACATTGTTTTGAAGAAACTGACCATAGAAAAAAAAAAGATGGTTTAGACTTAAATCAATATTAGTATTTGTAAACCCATAGCTATGTGTCAATGGTAAAATATCTAGATGGAGAATAAAATATCTCTTAATCATCTAGCTATTTTGTTTCTTTAGAATATTTTTATTTTTTTAATTAAAAAATGTTTTAAAGATTTTATTTATTTATTTGACACAGAAAGAGAGAGAGAAAGAGAGTGAAAGAGCACAAGCAGGGGGAGCAGTAGAGGGAGAGGGAGAAGCAGGCTCCCCACTGAGCAGGGAGCCCAACGTGGGGCTCGGGCTTGATCCCAGGACTCTGGGATCATGACCTGAACCAAAGGCAGACGCTTAACCGACTGAGCCACCCAGGCGCCCTCACCTAGCTATTTTATTCATATAATATCCAAAACTTAGGAAATTTTCAAATATCTTGTTTCAAATCATATCCAAATATGCAAATATTAGTATCACATAGGTACAGCCATCAGATGAATCAAGATGAATGAGTGTTCAGGCCACTGAAGGGAAAGAAGTCTGGCCAATGGAAATGAGCTCTGCACTGAATCCCGGCCCTGTTTTGAGGTTACTATTGTTTTTGGCTCAGCCTAGAAATTGGATGATTGCTCTTCATACCACTGGGAGGCCTGCAGCCCAACCTCTGACCCAAGTTATCACAGGGCACAGGGAAACACAAACTGAAAATTGTAACTATTCTCTTCAAGTTCAACATAGAGATAGTCAGAAACCTAATCATAACTGAAGGATTACAATTTTCTAATCTACCCTTCCAAAGGGAAAGGAACTGCGAACTAGGGAGTATTAATTAACCTTCATCAGCTTTTAGCTTTTCAGACTTTCAATTCAGGCCGGAATGCTGCTGGTGCTGAGAGGCCACAAAAGATGAGAGACAAAGTGCAGGTTGTCACTTCTATTGTTTCCTAATGAGAAGGGTGACTTTGGCAACCCCTGCCTCTCTCCAATCAGAAGGCGTTGTGGAGATGCTGAGAAGCCAGACACCCAGTCACAGAAACCAGGCCCACTACTGATGCTCATCTTGGTCTTAATGCCTTCCAGTAAGTCTTGGGCAACTTAGTGCTGGGAGCTTATTTAAAATGCAAAGACACCAACCTCTTGTTTAGAGGTAAACAAAACTCTGAGTGAAGGTGAGAGAAAAGCTACTTAAGTTTAAAAACAAAAATCACTCTCAACCAAAATGCCATCTTTACATTTTGGTGAAACAATGTT